GACGATTCTGAAGGGATCGCTGTGCAAGCGCGCAGCATCTCTGCAGGGACAGCACCTTTATACACCACAGAGTGTTCGCACCGTCCGCAAAAGGGTGCGCAAACCTACCTTTCCGGAGTTCGCGCGGCACCGCAAGCCTCGAAGTCACTTAGCAAATTGTCCCCGCACTTTGCGTGAGCCTGCGCAACCAAATGAACATGAACATCTCGCACTGTTTGGGCAACAAAGACCGCTTTGCACAAGAACGGTGGTGCCGGACCCAGAACAAATAATAATCAAAAGCCAACCAGTGAGAGCTCCCTGACAAAGGCTCCTCGTAACACTCTTCATCAAGCCTGCGTGCGTTGTCCTCCCTTTTTTCTTGTCACGAAAACTCCTCACAGCGCTTCGTCCACCAGACTGGCGAGAACTTGCTCAGCGCTTGCAGTAGTAGGTCTTGGTAGTAGCGTCTAGGGCAGGGTCTAGGGTCTAGGGTCTGGGTCCACGGTCTAGGGCTCAAAGTCTTACGGTAGAAGTAGTAGTAGTGGTAGTAGTAGTAGTAGTACTAGTAGTAGTAGTAGCAGTACGAGCAATAGTAGTAGTAAGCGTTGTAAGACTTGCAATAGTAATTGTAGCAGGAATACTAGCAGAAGCAATGAGGAGCTGCCGGCAGAAGCTGCCGGGAGGAGCTGCCGGGAAGAGCTGCCGGGAAGTCCCGACAAAAGCTGCCGGCAGGAGCTATCGATAGGAGCTACCGGGAGAAGTAGTAAATCTACTGCTAGTAGCAGTAGTAATGGTAGTCGTAGTAGTAGTGGTAGTAGTAACACTCGTAGTTGGTAAAAGAAGCACGGGAAATCAGAGTAGTAGCACTCGTTGTAAGACGTAGTACTTATAGTAGTAATAGTAGCAGTAGTAGTAGTAGTAGTAGTAGTAGTGGTAATAGTACTAGTAGTAGTAGTAGTAGTAGTAGTCGTAATAGTTAGTAATAGTAGTAGTAGTAGTAGTAGTAGTAGTAGTAGTAGTAGTAGTAGTAGTTAGTAATAGTAGTAGTAGTAGTAGTAGTAGTAGTAGTAGTAGTAGTAGTAGTAGTAGTAGTAGTAGTAGTAGCAATAGTAGCAGTAGTAGTAGTACTAGTAGCAATCGTAGTACAAAAAGGAGGAGTAGAAGTAGAAGTAGAAGTAGAAGTAGTAGTAGTAGTAGTAGAAGTAGTAGTAGTAGTAGCAGCAGTAGTAGTAGTGATAGCAGTAGTAACAAAAATAGTAGTAGTAATCGTTGTAAAACTGGCAATAGTAATTGTAGCAGTAATAGTAGCAGAAGCAATGAGGAGCTGCCGGCAGAAGCTGCCGGGAGGAGCTGCCGGGAAGAGCTGCCGGGAGGTCCGACAAAAGCTGCCGGCAGGAGCTATCGATAGGAGCTGCCGGGAGAATTACTAAATCTACTGCTAGTAGCAGTAGTAATGGTACTCGTAGTAGTAGTAACACTCGTAGTTGGTAAAAGAAGCACGAGTAATCAGAGTAGTAGTACTCGTTATAGGACTTGCAAGAATAATTGTAGCAGTAATAGTAGCAGTAGTAGTAGTAGAACAAAAAGAAGTAATAATAACATAAGCACTAAAATCATGAAGGAGCTGCCGGCAGAAGCTGCTGAAGGGAGCTGCCGGGAGGTCCCGATACAAGCAGCCCGAGAAGCTGCCGGCAGGAGCTATCGAGAGGAGATGAATGTACTAGTAGTAGTAGTAGTTGTTGTTTGTTGTGGTAGTAGTAGTAATAGTAGTAGCAATGGAGTAGTAGAAGAAATAATCGTAGTAGCATTAGTAGTCGTAGTAGTAGTGGAAGTAAAACTAAGAATAGCACAGTAGTAGTAGTAGTAGTAGTGGTAGTAGTAGTAGTCTCAACAGTAATTGTATCCGAGCTGCCGGGAGGACCTGCCGGGAGGAGCTGCCAGGAGGAGCTGCCAGGAGGAGCTGCCAGGAGGAGCTACTGGGAGGAGCTGCCGGCAATATCCACAACCGCGTCCGCCTGGACCTGGAGTCGTGCCACCTCACGCTGCGCCACCTGTATACAGGTGGCGCGGGCGTAGTAATAAATCTAAAATTGTCATAGGAATAGTGGCACTCGTCGTAGTAATGGTTGGCAGTACCTCAATACTAGTGGTAGTAATAGCAGTAGCAGACGTAGAACGAGTAGTACCAGTAGCAGTGCTAGTAATACTAGTTCGGAGAGTAGTCGTAGTAGTAGTAGTAGAAGTAGTAGTAGAAGTACAAGTAGAAGTACAAGCAGTAGTAGTAGTAATAATAGGAATGGTAATGGTAGTTGTAGCAGTAGTAGTAGTAGTAGTAGTCGTAGTGGTACTACTAGTAGTCGTAATAAAAGTAGCGGAAATAGAGTTTGTAATGCTAGAAGGGTACTAGTTGTACTAATAGTAGTAGTAGTAGTACTACTAGTAGTAGTAGTAGTAGTTGTTGCTGTTGTTGTTGTAATAGTAATTATAATAGTGGTAGTGGTAATAGTAGTAGTAGTAGTAGTAGTAGTAGCAGTAGTAGAAGTAGTAGTAGTAGTAGTAGTAGTAGTAGTAGTAGTGGTAATAGTAGCAGTAGTAGTAGTAGTAGTAGTAGTAGTAGTAGTAGTAATAGCGGTAATGTCTAAACTGATAGAAATGTTACTGCTTGGAGCAGGTTTCGGTGGCATCCCGCACGCCCTACGCCTGTCCCAGCCTGGAGCCACCACACCCTGGCCTTTCGAGCCAGCCGGCCCAAGACGCAGCAAATGCGGATCATTCAATGCATCAGAGCAGTTAAGCTTTGGAAAGGGAACCACCAATACAACTTTTGAGACAACCCTTAGCAAGGAACAGATTCCACGATTGTCATCAGTGACAAAAAGCAAGCAAGCAAGCAAGCAAGCAAGCAAGCAAGCAAGCAAGCAAGCAAGCAAGCAAGCAAGCAAGCAAGCAAGCAAGCAAGCAAGCAAGCAAGCAAGCAAGCAAGCAAGCAAGCAAGCAAGCAAGCAAGCAAGCAAGCAAGCAAGCAAGCAAGCAAGCAAGCAAGCAAGCAAGCAAGCAAGCAAGCAAGCAAGCAAGCAAGCAAGCAAGCAAGCAAGCAAGCAAGCAAGCAAGCAAGCAAGCAAGCAAGCACACTTCAGCGCAACGTCTTCAAATTTTCCTTCGCTTGGCCCACTCCTTTGCTCTGAAGGTTTTGCTGGTGTCATGACGCATGTCCTTCTGCCATTGCTTCTGGTTGACCGCGTAGAGCGGCAACACAAACTGTCGGCCGCCATAGGAGTCTACAAGATCTCGAGTGCGTGGTTCAAGTCGAGGCTTGTTCTTTTGAGCCAGCTGTTTTCTTTTCAGCTTCTTTCCGAAAATACCGTGCGAGTTGTAGCGCGGGAAACTCAGCTGCTTGGCCTGCCACGCTTTCTCGGCCTGTGCCTGGCTGCGTGGCGCTTCTAGCGCAGCGCGAAAGCTTGTCGAGCGCAGCCAAAACCTTCTGCTGCAAAGATTCGTTCGCTGCCCGAGCAAGATTCTTCGCTGCCAGCTGACCATGGCTCTGATTCTGCTGACTCCGACATCCACCTAATTGCCCAAGAAGGCCGGAAGGCCCGCACCTTTTTTGCATGTGGACTGCCTGAAAAAATGCTGCGCTGTTGGTGAAAAAACGGCTTGCTTATTCTAAACGGCTTGCATATTCGCAGAGCCTGAAACCCGGTGCCTGCGAGATTGCGAAAAGAAGATTGCATTTTGACGTCATAGTGATCCCCATGGGATTCCAATCTGCAAGCGAGCAAAAGAGTCATGCGGAAAGACACGCTTCCAGCCCCAACTATGTTTCTCTGCTCCAACCATTATTGACAACATGGTGAAACCGTAGCAAAACAGTGCACCTGATGTACAACTAGTTTTCTACCTACGGGCTCCTTTCATAGCCACATATTAAGAAGCCACCCTGAGCCAACCACCGCGAAAATGCCCCCTTCGTAGGTGAAGGCACCGACCAGCAAGATCAGGATCCACCTCCAGCAGCTCCACCGCCTTGTCGGCGTACCTTGATTTGGCCATGAAACTGCTGGGCACTCTCTGCCCTTTCCTCTGCGCCACCTCTCTGTGGCCCAGCTCCCGCTCTCGGGGCTGACCGATCCTCCTCTTGCCCTTGCGCGCGGACTTGTCCCTGATCGTGCCCAAGAGCTCCGCTACCATGAAGTCATGGCTTGGGCTCTCTGTGTTTTGATCCACTCGATGAACTGCATCGGTACATGAGTTTTCACATGTCTGCAGAAAGACAAAGACAAAGACAAAAAACAAAAAGAAAGAGAAAGAGAAAGAGAAAGACAAAGACCAAAGACAACGAGAAAGAGAAAGAGCAAGAAAGAAAGAAAGAAAGAAAGAAAGAAAGAAAGAAAGAAAGAAAGAAAGAAAGAAAGAAAGAAAGAAAGAAAGAGAGAAACAGAGAAACAGAGAAACAGAAGGACTGAAAGAGAAAGATAAACAGAAAGAGAGGAAAGAGAAAGAGAGGAAAGAGAAAGAGAGAAAGAGAAAGAGAGAAAGAGAAAGACATAAAGGGACAGAGAGAAAGAAAAAGAGAGAAAGAGAAAGAGAAAGAGAGAAAGAGAAAGAGAGAAAGAATAAGAGAGAAAGAGAAAGAGAGAAAGAGAGAAAGAGAGAAAGAGAGAAAGAGAGAAAGAGAGAAAGAGAGAAAGAGAGAAAGAGAAAGAGAAAGAGAGAAAAAGTGAAAGACAAAAGAAAGAGAGAGAAAGTGAAAGAGAAATAGAAAGAGAGAAAGAGAAGGAGAAAGACAAAGAGAAAGCGAACAAGAGAGAAAGAGAAAGAGAGAAAGAGAGAAAGACAAAGAGAAAGAGAAAGACCAAAAAGAAAAACAAAGACAAAGATGAAGAGTCAAGAGTTAACAGAAAGAGCAAAAGGAAGAGGAACAGGAAGAGGAGAGGATGCCAATCAAAATTTGTTAGGAAAGAAAACTACAGGCCCAGGTTGAAATCAAACAACACTTATGCACATCAAGTCGAAGCGTCTTCCCTCCAGCGAAGGAATCCGCCACGTGGTGCCAAATGGCTTTGGGCACTGGACCGGTGGCGTCCTCCTTGGTCCAGGCGACGCTCACCTCGCCCTCCTCGCCCTGGCAAGGACGAAACTCGCCTCACCTCGCCTCACCTCGCCTCCTCGCCTCACCGCCTCACCGCGCGACTTCTTCGCTTCACTCAAAAGAAAAGCGCGCAGGCCTCGTTCAGCTCCAGTAGCCACAGGGTCTGCAGGCCCTCACAGGGGTTGTGCGAGCGGTCGTTGCAGCCCCCCAGCATCAGCACCCGTCTGCCTCCTTCGAGAGAGACCTGAGAACAAGCAAGTGGTCCAAAGGGCAACAACTGTTGGAGAAGAGTGTGCTCGATTTTTGCCAGAAACACAAAGGAGTTTGATTCTCACCAAAAGTGGGTTCGAAAGAACATCGGCAGGGCTGGCGCAGGCAGGGCCACACAGCAGCTGGCGTGGCGCAAGCGGCGGCAGGGTGCGGCGCCCCGCGACTGGGGCTCGCTGATCTGCAGACGCCGGAGGTCCAGCAGCGAGATGTGCAGCCCATCTGCGGGGTACCTGTCTGGTAGCCCGACCCCAAAAAAAAGGATGCGGGCCCAAAGCAAGTCTCGCAATGAACAGTTTAAACTTGATTGGACCTCCCTTGTTCGGTGAATTCCCCACACAACTTGGGTTGTGCCTGCGACAACCAATAGTCATCCCTTTTGGAAACACCATGTTCGGGGTGGTTGGTCTAAGATCCCATCATCCACTCTTGGCAGTCAGGGGACAACCCAACATAAAGCCGGTTTCTCTCGGATGTTGCCTCACGTTGACATGCAAACATAGAAAGTGTTCACCTTTGGTTTCCATCCAACAGCGCTCCATCTCCAATCACCCCCACAAACTTGAGGTCCTTAGAACCAACAGCCGCACAAATGAGCAAATAATCCAAGCCAACCATCCAGCTGGGGCGCCATGGGCGCCAGCCCCCCACCACCACCACAAAGCCGCCCAGCGGAGTTGCCGAGTGCCCGCTGGAGCCCAGCACACGCTGAAGCTGCTCCTGAGCGGTGGGGTGGGGTGGGGGTGGGGTGGGGGTGGGGTGGGGCTCAAGGTGTTTGGGTATGGGTGATTTGCTTTGGAAATGAGCCCAGGATTGGTTCAAGGTTGCTTTGGGGTGGGTTTGGGTTGCGGGTTGGGATTGTGTTGGGATTTCTCAAAAACGGGTCAGTATGTGTGGGTGTGGGTGTGTGTGTGTGTGTGTGTGTGTCTCATCCTTTTTCCATGCCGCGCCCCTCTTGAGGACTATTCAGCAAGTGTTGCGCCGCCTTTAAAGTGATTCGCTCCAGACCCAAACATCAAAAGCTATGGTGTCGGCCCGTCATGACCCCATGCGGATTTCAGGGCTTTCCAACGCCAACGTGTTGAACAGAGATGAGATCTACTCCAGGTCCAGAGCAGTCGGAAGCCATCCCAAACGGAACGAACGCACGAATCGGCCGAGCGTCATGGTAGGCGGCACCATCCAGCAGTTGCAGACCAGGGCCGGGCGCATTTCTCAACGCCTGGCTGAAGCACTCGCTACGTTGAAGGCACTGCTCCCGCAGCGTGTGCTCGTAGAAGAAGGTATTGGCCTCGTTGATGTTGGTCTTGGTTTTAGTCACACTTGGGTGAACAAATTCAGACCCTGCGCAAACCTTGGTTCCCCAAATTGTTTTTCCAGCAAAGAAAAACGCCAAGGCTCAACACTGATACATCTTCTTTGTTGCACAAACGATCCAAGGCCTCTTTGTCAAGCATCACAAAGAGTGTGGTAAAAGAGGAGCCTCTAACCGCAAGCTCCGCAAATGGGGTGCCACAGCTGCATGGGTACTTCGTAACACTGGATATCAACCCAAAAATGCGTTCATGTCCCAAATGTCCAAATTTGGGACAAGATCAGGTGTCTAATGCCCCCAATGATCCCTCCCTCGTGATGGCCTGACTGGCCGCCCGGCACAGCGCCCGCCAGAACTCGCTGCTGCCATCCTCGGCCGCCTGCTGGTGAAGTGCGATCACTGCCTCGTCCAGCAGATGGTGGCCTCAGTGCCGCAAGTTCTTGCAACCCAAGTCCACAGCGAACATGGAGGCAAGAAAGCATCTACAGTCCACAGTGGTTGGCTAAGCTTGATTCCGCGGAAGGGGAATACACACAACATGTCCACGTCCCATATCAATACTAACCAGCCACTTGCAACGCGGGCAACACCGATCCCCCGCCCAACCTTGAGAAGACAAGCCTCGTTGCACCAATACCGTACTATGGGGGTCCTACCAAATGAACCTCCAACAGACCTCGAATGGCTCGGAGCCGAACGCGGCCGAGCTGCACAGGGATTGCCACAACGACACGCTCCCAAACAGCAGCGCCCGCAAGCCGCGGCTGCAAACGCTGGTCGCCACGGTTGTTGCGGTGCCGAGGAAATGGCAAAGCCGCAAGAAGACGTCCTGCGACACTGACTTCATGGCAAGTGGAGCCATGAGCGAGCGACTAGCGACTTAGTGAGGTAAGGGGCCATCCGCTTCCCATCTCCTTACGGCTCTGAACCTTAGCAGAAAGCCCAATGTCGAAAGTGACGAAATGATCAATGAGGTGAGTGGCATGGGGCACCTCAAACTGTTGCAAACAGATCCTGAGGTTGTATGTCATGACATGATAGCTAGCATCGACCAAAGCGGCAAACCGCACTCAATGAGGTTCAAGTACAGTCAAAAAAAAGAAACGGAAGCTGGTGAAGTAGCTACGGTCAAGATGAGACCATGGCCGTTTCTTCCTTATGAAATCAAAAGAAACAGAGCCCGGATGCTATCTGCCTTGCCTGAAACCTCCCGTTTCAGCTCCTCCCCGAGAAGCTCCACCACCGCCCCTTCCAGCACCTGCAAGTTCTCGGGCTTCAGCAACTTGGGCCCCGCGAGGAACAGCACCGCCCAGCGCCCTGACAGGCCGCTGGACGCAGGAAACAAGAAACCCGCCCGCCGAAGCAAACGAGGCCGTGCCGAAGCTGAGATTCTCTAAGATCTATCCCTTTTCGCCAGTGCCAGACGTCAAGATAGTTCAAATCACCGCTCCCCAGCGTTCCTCCATCAACAAAAGATCACAAAAATAGATGTGGATGAAAGTCGCCCTTTTGGAACCTCAATGGCTGGTCACACGCCCCAAACTTCTCAGCTTCCCCCCACGTGCCCCAGTGACCCTGGTAGAACCAAGGGCTGACCATTGCCACTTTTCGTGGGGTTGACCATTATGAGTGGGTCCCGAACCCACCAAAAAAAGAAAGAGGATGACACGATGACGGTGTCCCTGGCGCCTCGTTCCTCGTGGAAGGCCTGGAGTGTCCCCACGGCGCCGTTCAGCTCCGCGCTCGCCAGGCCATGCAGCTCCACCCGCCGCCCCGCCGCCAACGCCATCAGAAATGGACTTTTTTCTTTGTGCGCAAAAGGTGTGAGTCTGGTTGTGTGGCTGGAGGAGTACCAACGCAAGTGGTTTGCCCTCTCCAAGCTTTGTGCTTAAACTAGCCAGGCTTGTTGGATCGATCTGAACGGCGCATACCTCTTGTCTCGTTTTGCAGGCCTACTCATGCACGCCCTTGCTTGGCTGCAGTTGTTGTGAGCGACGGATCATTTGTCGGCAAAGCCATTCACTATGCAGCTCAAATCAAGCTCACGCATGGCAGCTCCCCACTCAAATGGCAAACTCGAGGAAACGTAAAACTGATCTTGTTCGTGTAACATGTTTTGCGGTTGACGGCCGTCACAGTGAGCTACGTTCAAGCGACTCACAACCATTTCCGTTCTGATCGCCTCACTGCCTGCGTGCTGACGGATCTGATCGGCGGCCATCCTGCAACAAATCCAGAGGCGATTGAGTCACTGTTCCCGAAACCTAGTCATGTAACATACAAAAGTCCGAGTCGCGGGTTTGGACGGGCGTGGATTGGGGTCAACACCCCGCCTCAAGCTTGCAGTCTTGGCACGGGTGAGGCATCAGACAATGCGAATCGGACACCCGGAAGCATTCGCACAAACTATCCTGAAGGGAGAGGCAGCCCTTGTCCAAAGCAATACGAAAACCCTGAACACCCCGAAGCCACAAGTTTCTCCCAGGCCGTCAATTAAACCAGCCATCCTCACCTAAACTAATCAGCCCTGAAACACGAAGCCATCATCGCTGATTGAGGTCGCCGCTTCTGGACCCCAAAAGCTTCAAATCCGCGAACTACTCCAGATCAACCTGATCAACCTGATCAACCTGATCAACCTGATCATCTTTTGGAACCAGAGTTGACTCCGAGACATCCGACTCGACGGCTCTCTCTCTCTCTCTCTCTGAGCCCGCCTGAGGAAGGCATCCCGCGCCGTGGGGTTGATGGAGCGGCTGCAGCTGCACCCGGCAGCGACCTGCGCCGAAGCGGTGAGCCGTCCAGCAAAACTCGGAAGTGAACTAAGCGAACAGATGCTCGATGCTAAGATGCTCAAATCCTTGCCAACACACAGACATTGAATCATCCTGGCCGATTCCAAGACGGGCCCACCAGAGTTGGGCAACACTGCAACACACTTTGAACACACCAAGGGCGTTATCCACAACATTGGGTCCCCGGCACACTCGCCCAGGCAGTCGTTCACGCCGCACACGTGCCTCGCAGTCACAAGCTGCCACCTGTCATTCCTCCAAAAACGTGCACTTGCCTCGGCGAGGCAAAACAAACAAAATCCAAAGAAATCAATCCCAAAAGTTGGGGAGCCCGCAACTTTCACTAACTTACTCGACCTCTTCGGATTTGAAGAAATCGCACGTGCGTCATGGCCAGCTCGAGTTCCCAGCCAGGCGCCACACCGACTGTGCCGCTTCAGCTCCTCCACCTTGCGAGCCATCCGTGTGCTCGCCTGGCCTGTGGTTTTATTTGCCTCGGGCAACCATTCCATGTGAAGTGACCCAGGACCTGATCGCAAGGTGGTTGGAGGATCCATCTCAAGTAAGCCCTAGGCTCTACCGCCTCCACATGACCTGCTGATGATGTTGATTCGGCAAGAACTGCCAGTTCTCCTTCAGCCGTTCCAGCAAATGCCCAAATTTTCCCCCACCCCCCGGCAAGAAACCTACAGGCCAACCAACATGCTGTGAAAGAACAAAAGACAACAAAACACAACCCAACCAGTCCCCGGGAAAGAAAAAACAAGCATAGCATTCACCCATTGACCCAGCCCGCTCTCCCGTGCTTCTTCCGTGCCTCAGCGCTGGGGATCTCATGTGAGGAGGCCACAACATAGCCGTCGTCCGCAACGTCCAGGAAGAACTGCTCTGCCTGGCCGAATTGGCATCCGGGCGCAGCCTCTCCAGTGAAGCCAAACGCAACCCGCCAAGTGGAGATTGTTCCAGTCCCGCATCAATGCCATGGTCTGAGTGGAATGGGGACTCCCATGTGTCCCCGAACTAAGCCAAAAGATCAGCCCCCCCCCCCCCCCGATTGGATCTGATGTAGGTGCAAAATGAGCGATCCGGGTCGCGAATTTGGGAAGAGTAACCAATGAAACCTGTGGCCCAATGTGCCCCGAAGCCTTTACGGCTGAAACCCCCTCTCAAGAAAAAAAGAAGAGAAAAGTTGGCAAGACCAAGCCCACACCATTCCTGGCCGCTCCTACCCCTCAAAAGCAGGTCTGCAGCGCCCGACACTGCCACAGGACATCCCCAATCAGCACCTGGCAGCGTAAGGCGTCTATTGCTTCGTCTGACTACTTTAGCTATTCAAAGATCAAAAGCATAACTACAAATTGCCTCCCACACAAACAAACACAGTCCATCAAACATGCAATGCAAGTCTGATGGAGAAGAGGAGGGCCCCTCCCTGGTCAAAACTATGAGCGATGATCCAGATGTACAATTCAATTTTATGCGACTGCCACTCCAACCATCATAAACATCACATGTAATCGTCCTAGATTTTGGCCTGGCTATCCCTTGCTGGGGCCGGCGCCGTCATTCCATCATGTAGCAGGCTCGGAATCCAAATGCCAGTGCATACCAGGTACAACAACAATGTTGGCAGTCGAGAGCGCATTTGACTACACGTCTCTTCACATTGCACCTCAACAAGGTGATTCAACAACTTATTCCAGCTTGGAGTTCAATGCGATCATACAGTAGTTGCGTAGCCTCATGCAAGCGTTAATTTTGGAGGCGTCCAGAAGTATGGCCAGTGCAATCTTCAAGTGCTGCGCTGTTTGAGTTCTGTCTTGCCGCGCAGACTTTGAATATGTAATACACTTAATCATGATGAGCCCGCTGGAGCCAGGCACTGAACAAGTCGGAAGGCGTGCGCAAGGTTCAATCAAAATGCATCAAATGCATCACATCAGTTCTTCTCGGCTCCATGCTCTGCTCATTTGTGGATATTCCAACATGCAACTCCGCTCTTTCTCCGCTCGATGGCGGGGCACACGTCTTGCCAGCAAGCGGCTACGTCTGTTGGACATCGGAGGCGTATGCCTGGCAAACACCAAACCTTTCGGGGGACCGATGTCTGCTTTAACTCGCCTTCGGACCTTCGGCCTTCACACAAATCCGCTTTGGGATGGTGTTAGCCTCGGCGAACTCGGGGGCCCGGAACGGCGCTCCGAGCAGCCGGGACGGATGCCTCAGCTGAAGAGCATGTCGAACTCGTCCTGGCAACATGGCCCCTGCGAATGCCAAACACGCTCAAAAAAGATTGGCGGGCAGCGGAACCAGATCTTGATGGACGTACGGTCTTGCGTGTCCCTTTGGAAAAGAGGATGGCACTGACAAATCACAATCAGACCGGAACCAGTGCAAAACATTGTTTGAAGAAAACCCAAAGCCCGGGTTCCCGCAGCGTTCGAAGCCCGAGAGCAAGCTTTGCTGATGACCAGCCAAGTGCAGAATTGCAGGGAGCCCAAGGCTCAAAGCGCGCCAGCACTGCGTGCTTCCGCGGGCTGACTGAGCCTTTGGCCGGGCTAGCAGCGCCTGCAGCAGAGCCTTCAGCACAAGAGGGCTTCACTGCTATTGGTTCCCCCCCCGAACCGGCAAGTTGATGTTCCCCGGCCCGGTGAACACACCTGCAAATTAAATCTCTTTGGCGACACTGCCATCTGTCAAACAGGATACATGACAGCTGCGCTTGACGGCTCGCCATCATGATCCCTATGCGATCCGTAAGCTTCGCCAGCAAGCAAAAGTGGACAGCCTATGAATATCTCTGGCTGAGGCGGGTACTGTCGCCCAGCAAGTCCTCGGAATGCGCTGAAGCCTGCGGGACGGGGGGTCTCAGGGGCAAGTGAGATGTCACCAATTCCACGCTTGGAAGCTTTGTGTCAATGGCCCGGTGGTTCTTGAAATTGCCGACATGCATGAGTCCAGACTCCAGACACGCAAAACCCACATGTGCCCACCATGGGCGAGGTGTCTGGTGAGGCCTGGCCGAGCAGACAGAAGCTGTTTGCTTTCACCGTTTCCTGATTCGTAGCAGAACTACTGAAGGACACTTTCGGGTCCTCGGAAAATGTTGGTGGTCAAGCCAAGTAGCGGTACTCCCCTTTCGATTCAACGAGTTAAGCGTGCTGGAAGAGCGCATGAAAGTCAGAGCCTGTCAGAAATAGTCAATCGGCATCGAGAGCAATCTTAGCATCTTCCAGAATTCCATCAGAAAACGATCACAAACAAATTAGACCTCATACAAATCTCTAAGAGCATTCTGATGCTGGTCCGATGGTTGAAATTACCCCTTCTGCCACACCACTAGCAGGCCTTCCCCATAATGAATTATGACCTCTTGCTTATACATTGCCAGCCTCCTTTTGCTGGATCCAACCAGTCCACAAGGCCAAGTAAAATGGATCTTCCGCCATTCTTGGGTTCCACAAGGTCAAGCAATGCAGATCCAAAGATTCAAATGTGTGACACTCAGGGGACTGGACGCCTTCGATCCCTTGCCCTCTGAAACTCGTCAGGCGCACAGAGGGCGCGGATTTGGCAGCTGACCTCAATTGGGTGGGACGAATGTCACCTTATTTTACACCACCCGCACAAGAAAAATACTCTGCACCAGCACATGAAAGCTCTGGGTTGTCAAGAAAGGATGACTTTCCATTGAGCAGACTCCACATAGATACATCCTTGGCCAACGAACAGTTGGGTGTGGCATCGGCATAATGTGCACTTGTTTGTTCTTACGTAGGGCGGGTGACATGCCTTTCTTGTTCTTGAGGAGTGAATTTATGGGAGGGGGGCCCTTTGGTCAACATCATTTGGGTGGGGTTTCGTCCACGTACCACTTTGGAGGTGGTGCCTGTCAAAATGAATAGCCGTTTGTGTAGGTTCTGTGGCCGAAGCCGCTCTCTGGCCAGCAATTAATTTGGTTCTGTTTTAGGGTTGATTTAGATCTGTCATATAAAGCTAACAAAAAACAGGAAAGCTAGTTCTCGAAATGTGTGTTAACCCCTCCCACTCGCCATGCCTTTTTTCAAGACTACTATTTCCAGGAGGCTTTGTTTCATATCAGTTTATTGTTGCCAGCTCTGTTCAGTTTTGGTTGTCTCATGTTTATTCGAACCGAATCGAATCGAACCGAATCGAGCCGAATCGATCCGAATTGAACCGAATCGAACCGAATCGAACCGAATTGAACCGAATCGAGCCGAGTCGAGCCGAATCGAACCGAATCAAACCGAACCGAATCGAGCCGAATCGAGCCGAATCGAGCCGAATTGAACCGAATCGAGCCGAATTGAGCCGAATCGGGCCGAATCGAGCCGAATCGAACTGAATCGAACCGAGTCGAACCAAATCGAGCCGAGTCCAACCGAATCGAATCGAACCGAATCTAACCGAATAGAGCCGAATCCAACCGAATCGAACAGAATTGAATCGAACCGAATCGAGCCTAATCGAATGGAGCCGAATCGAACCGATTCGAGCGAATATCTGCAAACATGATGGAAATGGCACCTTCCTTTTTTCCATGTGAGAGTGGGCAGTCATTTTCCCAGAATCGAAAATCACTAAAACAAATTGCCTCGCGTGCCTTGGACGGGTGCTCTGAAAGAAGAACCGACCCTCGCCAGAATGCATGCCCCCTGCAAAATTTTCAAATCAAGAGCTCCAATTTCAAATGCGCTTCAAGCATAGCGCGCCTTTCAACCCTGCTTTGTTTGCTGCAAGGCACTTTCCATAGCACCCCACGATGCCAGCAAGAGCAACAAAGATAGCTTTTCAACATGGTTGGGTGCGAATGCTGTCTGCCAAAACACACAAATGGTTCATTCGGAAAGAGATGTCGACCCATATCTTGCCAACACAGCATCAGACCAAACAGCTAGGTTTCCCGGCTTGGCAGTGCCCCAATTCACCCTCAGCACCTCGAGTGACGGAATTTGCAGGCAACACGGACCTCGGGCTGTAGCAAGGTCTTGTCGGGTGGCGGCCATGGGAATGTGCTTGTTCCCTTCTTCGAGTCGCCCTTCCGTGATTCTTACTCTCGAAGAGCTCCGGAGCTCATATGCCAGGACAATAGGCAACATCACCACAAGTCAAGTCCCCTGTCCCAGTCTAGGAAGCAATGCCATGCTATGCCCAAGAATTCAAAATGAAGTTCCCGGTCCGGGACGGTTTTGAGAGAAGCCCAATCACTGGGGATACACCTAGGGGAGCCCTCTCTTGAAGCGCAGCTCCCTCCGCCAGCCGAACCTTGGCCAGAACTTTGTCCTCGAACATGGGCACCTGAAATCCGGCTCGTGTCGCAGCCACCTTTTGCCTGACATGCGAATCTGACCGGGGCCGGTCGCTGCACCAGACCACCTTTTGGGGAGGAAGAAGTATCTCAGAAGTGTCTGTGCGGGATGAAATGGGAAAATGCCAGCCTCACCCAAATCATGCCCCAAGGTTCACCAAAGAGAAAAGTCAGTGAGACGGGGCAAAGCCTGTCATTAGAACTCCTCTGTTTTCCTGTCTGAAGAGGTTCGTATCAAGTCCAAGCTGCCATGGACTCCTCATTGGTCACATCCTTGGGCGCACTATGGCGCACTGTATTCTCCCGTCTCCCCCCAACCCCCGGCCCAATGCGGTTGTAGTTGGCTTCCAGAACAGGAAGCGGGGAGCACTAGGCAAAGGACCTTCAGAAATAGGAGACACCTTCAAGAGGTGTCTATGCTTGAGCGTTTCAGATGGCAATGCATGGCACTTCAATCAGCTACACCTGGGTGTCAGACCATCCACAGAGCACTCGACCTCGACAAACAAGAGACAGCTTTCCAAAAAGCTCCGGAAGCTAAGCGCGTGGCTCCCACTTCATCTTGAAGCGAAAATGGTACTGGCCCGGAAGAGGGAAGGCGGCGCGGATGTCTTTCAGTTTGACGCCAGATCCTGCGCGGTTTAAGAATCAAATGCACGGATCCTAAGTGAATCTGGAAGCGCAGAGTATCTAAGCTCACAAATCTTAAAGTGCGCAAACATAGCATTTCAAGCTATCCTGCATGCCCCACTTCAAAGGCGTTCGGATGATCTTGCTCATCGTTATCGCCTGACACGTGAGAACATTCTCAAGCATCCTCCAAAGCCGGCTCCATGAACATTTCAACAAATCCCACCTGGCAGCCAGTAGTACACAAACATGCGCATCATAATTGTTGAATGAGTTGCAAGTGTATCACCTGATGATGGTAGAACTACACAAGTCAGGTGATTGATGGGGATGTTCAACAATGTAGTGATTCTGTGCGAGCTTCGCGGGTCACAATGGCAAAAGGCGTCAAAGTGTCCCGGCACCTCGCTTTGCTACCATATAAAACCTGATTATTGCGTCAACTGCTTATTGTGTTCCATTGTTATTGCTTGTCGATGGAAGTGAGCCTTGATGGCTGCAGTAGCATCAGACACCTTGCCAAATTTGCTTTGAGGCACAGGCTCGGTCGGCTCGGTCTCTAGCTTTTGTGCGCCGGGGAAAACGACTGCTTCATTCAAACGCCAGTGCAGGAAAACGACAAATGCATCCCCCAGCCACCATGGGAATCCGTTCGCCGCACACACACGGTGCTGCCGGAGGTTGTGATTTGGAAGGCGTCCCCCCAAGCACCGGCATTCAGACGATAGCCCAGGTTCGCCGCAAAGGCGGCGCAGGTGACAGGCCGGTGCACGCCCACACACTTTGTGTTGGAGTTGCTGGCGCCCATATGGACCGTCACTACCTCCCGCACCCAGCCATAATCCTTGCAGTGCATCTTCAGATCCAATCCCCAACCGCCGTGGTAATCAAGTCGCGTCGCACAAACATAGCCCTCACTCTCCTCCACAAAGAAGCGATCCCCGCAACCGGCACAGTCGTGGTTCACCCGTTTGTACATGTCCCCTGCATCTGGGTCACAGTCATACTCGTGGGTCATAAGGAGGCACCTCTGGTTCACCCCACTGGGACTGCCGCCCAAATGCACCGTGGAGACCGCGCAGTTCACAACCCCTCCTCCGCCTGAAGGGCGAAAGCACGGGAAACCGAAGGAAGCAGTCAAGCCTTTTGGTCATGCGCTTCCAAAAAAAGCATGGCAAGCGGGCTCGATGCAGGCTCTGCGGCGATACCTGCCTGTAGGATCACATTCCACCACCAGATTGTTGCCCCAACCACCCCGTAGTCTGTGCGCCGCGCACACCATCGCTGGCCATCCTGCGTCTCAGGTTTAAAGTCACAAATTTGCAGAGCTCCATTTTCCTGCCTTGGCTTGCCGCAAACGTCCCCTTCCCCCTTGTCCTCATAAACTGGACCCTTAAAATGGGCTGTTTTCTTCCTGGTTTTCTTTAAGCTTTAAACCATCCGCAAAGGGGGCCTTTTTGGCCGACCCAATTCGCTTTACGTCAATTGGAGCACAGTGTCCAACTCGGGTGAAGCCGACTGGAAACACGTTTGCCTTTCGGCTAAAGCCGTGCTGCCCGGGTTCCATGGCACCCCGCCTGGTAGACGTAGTAGTCAGAATCTTGATCACTGCTTCAATCCGAAAGGGAACATGCAGCCAAAGATAGAAGAGGTGCGACTGACAAACATGTATGCACGTTTTTTTTCTTTATGAGGCGTTGCTTGGAAGTTAAGGCTCGGAGGTGCAGGGGGAAAGACAGCGCGTGTCCTTTCCCCGTGTCCGCACCCCACTGCGGAGCCTTCTCATATGCCCCCACTTCAGGGTTCCAAGCAAACGGCCTAAAATATCTATCACCCCCTCTTCAGAGCGTTTGCGAAGCACTGATATGCTCCGGTTGCCGTGGGGCGTCGGGCGGATGCAGCAAAAGCTTGCATTGATGGGGCCAGAAATCATGCGGGCGAAAACGAAAGCGAGCTCGGACGTATTGCCGCGGCTGGGCTGATCAGCCCACATGTTGCGCTCGCCTGGGATATGTGAGGCTAGCACTGACCATTTGTGCTTATAGGCCCACGCGGCGACTAACTGCGCAAAAACCTGCAAAGCTCTGAGGCTGTGTTGTCCGCGCTGGAAGGCATGCAGAAACCATGCACGGCTTGACCCTCGGCACTCCAAGCGATGCGCATGTGTGCGAGTTGGGCCAGGGTTTCGAAGCACGCTATGTAGCGTTGGGCCTCCTTTGTGAGAGAAGGCCACGGCTGCTGGACTTCTTGGAACTCCCACGTTTCTGCGAACCAGGAGGCTGCTGGAGATAAACCAGCCACCTATGCCGACTTTGGTGCCTTCGGCGCAAGCATCGGCGGCTGCTTCGCATGCAAGGATTGGCTTGCTTCGCAGCGGGCAGTGGACAAGCGGGTGTGCTCGGCAGCTGGGTCGGCGATGCGCACCCATGCTGGTTTATGGCTGGGCACGATGCGAGGCAAGTTGGAGGAGCTGCGTGTTGGGGTTTGCTGGTATTCTAAAACCCTGGAGCCAAGCGGCATAAAGATGCCGTGCACGGGAGATGCCAGTACGGCTTTGGCGTTTAATAGGAATGCGGGCCACAGGCGTGCGTGCACTGAGATCATGCACCCCGGCGGCGAATGCAGATCTGCATAAAGAGGCGCAAGCCAAGACCGTAATTCTAAACTTACCCCCAATACATGCGTTCCGCCCCACAGGACCTTGACCAGGACCTCTGCTCAGGTTGGGAGCCGCCCATTAGACAGGCACGCAATGGGCGTTTAGGGTTTTAGGGTTTAGGTTCCAGGATTTTAGGGTTTAGGTTTAGGTTTAGGGTTTTAGGATTTTGGGTTTAGGTATAGGACTTTAGGGTTTAGGTTTAGGGCTTAGGGTTTAGGTTTAGGGTTTTAGGTTTAGGGCAAAAAGGAAATTCCGCACACACGATTCTCGCACAGGGTGCGCATTTCGGGGCCCAACCCCAGACTTCGGCCCCACACACTTGGTCCGGACCTGTGAACTTCAACCTCTCAAAACACTGGCCCTGCGCTTTTTTTGTCACCTGCGCGCCTTGGGGCAATTGCCATCGGTCACGAAACCAAATGTACATCGGATATACTGGTGAAGTGAGACAAGTGAGACAAAGAAACCATATGAGCGTTACAATGGATCACAGACAGCGAACAGGCAACAAACCACGCAAAACACACAAACCCGAAAACACTGGCCCTGCGCACGTTTTCTGATACATTCAGGCGCCCCGTCGGGGGACGTTGGGGCAATACACACGTATTGGCCGTAAACTTAGGCTAGTAGCCCAGATGAGCAGCCCCAGAACTTGCTCCAAAAGCTTTCTTTTGGTTCTTTTGGAGTGGAGCAAAGCGGAAAGTTGCTCTTTGAGTTTGAGGGTTTTGAGCGGAGTAAGCTCAATGGTTTCCAAGCTGAAGTTGATTGACCATCCGCACCATGTCAGACAGTTCTTGGAATTGTACTTTTTTCCAGGAGATGAGCGCGCTGATGGCTGCGAAGAAAACGACCACCAGGGCCAACTGATGATGTGCGTCTGGGCGGTGCAGCGCGGCCAGAAGGTCATCTACAAACAGCCAAGCTCTGCGCGGGTGGCAAGACAGGATGCCGTGCAAAAGCCTGAGCAGGAACGCTCCTGCGCGCTGCCACCAATGTGCGAAAAAAGCGTCTCCGAAATGGCACACCTCTCTCTTTAGAGGGGGTTTCCCAAATGGATTCTGTTCTACCTGACAGGCTCCTAGCACTCGTCCGTCCAGGAAACGACCTCGTCCTGCGAAGGATTCGAAATCTAAAACGCTGCGTGCAGGCGTGTGGCTGCAAAATAATGACCCCTAGATACGCTTGCAATTTGGCTCCAGGTTGTATTTCAAGCGAGCCAACCTTTGCAGGGCTAAGAAAAAAAAGAAAAACAAGGGGTCCCAAAAAAAGAGACCCCGAAAAACATGGAAAAGGGGTTTCCTTTGGCAAAGCTTGACCTCGCTTGAAATGCAACCTGGAGCCAAATTGCGGCGCATATCTAGGGGTCATTATTTTGCAGCCACACGCCTGCACGCAGCGCTTTAGGTTTTGAATCCTTCGCAGGACAAGGTCGTTTCGAGTGCTAGGAGCCTGTCAGGTAGAATAGAATCCATTTGGGAAACCCCCTCTAAAGAGAGAGGTTGCCAATATTGATCCATGGTTGACTCTCGTTTGATCCAAAAACGCGTGTACGCCAACCTGCCGAGCCGCGCCTCTCACACGCCAAGCCGCCGAACCCCCACAGTCCCCCGGCTCCTTGCTATATGTGCTATATGCGCTATATGGTGTAGAAGCCCGGTATCGAAGCCTCCTGCCCGGCATTGAAGCCGCGCCAACCCGCCGAACCTCCACAGTCCCCCGGGTCCTTGCTATATGTGCTATATGTGCTATATGGCTCTTACACGCCAAGCCGCGGAACCCTCACAGTCTCCGGGCTCCTTGCTATACGTCCTATATGTGCTATATGGGTCTTACACGCCAACCCGCTGAACCCCCACACTCTTGGGCTCCTTGCTATACGTCCTATATGTACTATATGTTATCGAGACGCGCGTTAAAATACACTGGAGATGCTATGTGTATAGTATACAGCTCTGCGGCTTGCCTTGTGAGACCCATATAGCACATATAGGACGTATAGCAAGGAGCCCGGAGACTGTGAGGGTTCTGCGGCTTGCCTTGTGAGAGCCATATAGCACATATAGGACGTATAGCAAGGACCCGGGGGAGAGTGGAGGTTCTGCGGCTTGCCTTGTGAGAGCCATATAGCACATATAGGACGTATAGCAAGGACCCGGGGACTGTGAGGGTTCGGCGGCTTGGCACTGCGCCACCCGGCCGCGGAGCCACGCCAGCCCGCCGAGTCATACGAATCACGTGTTTTAATGTCTATAAGGTGGACATTAAATCCTACCGCTTTCCAGGATACTAGCTCGCCCAACGTGGAGGCTTCGATACCGAGCGCGCCACATGCCTGCCCGGCATCGGAGCCACGCCAGCCCGCCGAGTCATACGGATCATACGGATCATACGGTCATACGGTCATACGGCTTGGCACTGCGCCACCCTGCCGCGCCACCTGCCCGGCATCGGAGCCAGCCTGCCGAGCCCGCGCCGCCCAAGGTCGGAATTCCGACTTCGCTCTTCCACCGAGGTCGGAATTCCGACTTCGCTCTTCCACCGAGGTCGGAATTCTTCCCAGGAAAAAAATTCCAGTCCTCCCGTGAAAGGAGAACTGCAGAACGCTTTTATTTGACCCATGAAACTATGCACGCCATGCATAGTTTCTGCATTAGGCTATAGGTATCATGACCTGGACCATGAATTGAAGGATATTTTCCCTCAATTCATGTCCTGCAGAAGTGAAGGATGTTTTCCTTCACTTCATGACCTGGGCCATGAAGTGAATGATATTTTCACTCACTTCATGTCCTGGTAGCCGAGCACATGCTATGTGGCGGCAAACGCACCAGCCTGCCGAGCCCGCGCCACCCGAGGACGGCGAAATTTTCGGTGAACTGCCGAAAATTTCGGTGATTTGTCCCGAAATTTTCGAGCGTCGTGCGCAGGTACCGCGATTGACCGGCGCCACCGGTCAAATCATTGTAGCCACGGTACTTCCAAAAAACCCTGGCGCGGGCCTGGTGCGGGCCTGGTGCGGGCCTGGTGCGGGCCTGGCGCAGTCTTGCTTTCAGCACGGGATGTCTCACAAAGTAACCGGCGCCACCGGTCACTTCACATACTTGCGGAAACTTCTAACGGCCGGAGTTTGGACTGAATGGTACTCAACTGCGCTTGCGGCAGGAATCGAGCCCCGTGCGGAGTAAGAAGCGCTTAGCTCCTTGGCCGACGCCTTAGCCACTGGACTAAGGCGTCGGCGAAAACATATGTAAACATGCTCTAACGCCCTACGCACAAGTAACAGACCTGCGGTGAACACGGCAGCCTCCTGCAACAACGCCGCCATTTAGTCGCTGACGACCGGGTTACCGCAGAGCTAGCCTCAAAGCTGGACAGCAGCGCGCTGGCGCCGGCAATTGCGCCTCTAGCCACGGCAGCGGCCTGGCCACCACGGACAGGCAGGTGGCCGTGCACGGAAGCAGCATCGCCGCGCTGCAGAGCTTGCTAACCAGGTCTCTCCAACAAGGTTGACCAGTTGGCCACGAAGAGCACTCCGGACGGCGTGTCTCTTTTTTTAGAGGGGGTTTCCCAAATGGATTCTATTCTACCTGAGAGGCTCCTAGCACTCGTCCGTCCAGGAAACGACCTCGTCCTGCGAAGGATTCGAAGTCTAAAACGCTGCGTGGAGGCGTGTGGCTGCAAAATAATGACCCCTAGATATGCTTGCAATTTGGCTCCAGGTTGCATTTCAAGCGAGCCAACCTTTGCAGGGCCAAGAAAAAACCAAAAAAAAACAGAAAATAAGGGGTCCCAAAAAAGGGGTCCCAAAAAAAGGGAAAAAGGTTTCCTTTGCCAAAGCTTGACATCGCTTGAAATGCAACCTGGAGCCAAATTGCTGCGCATATCTAGGGGTCATTATTTTGCAGCCACACGCCTCCACGCAGCGTTTTAGACTTCGAATCCTTCGCAGGAC